GTCCCAGCTACTCGGGAGGCTGAGGCAGAAGGAAAAAAGTATAATGTTAAAATGTACAAAATAATCACAAAAGGTTAACAATTATATAATCTAGATGGTGGGTATACAGATAGTTGCTACATTTCTTTATTTTCTGTATATTTGCAAAATGTCATAATAAAATGTTGGGGCAAAAATCACCTGCTGTCAAAAGAGCTACAGGCAACTTCCTTAAACCATGCTCTGGCATCAAAAGAAGCATTGATCTTTAGCTGCGCAAAACACATCTACTTTAATTTTATATTGTCTAATACATACTTTTTTCTAGAGTCTAAGTCAAATACAATTCTTAATATGCATACTTTTGTTGGACTATATTGTATAAAGTTATATTCTTAGGAAAAGAATGTGAATTTTCATACTCCAGCCTAATCTCATCACTTAACTTCTTTTTGGGGAACTGGGAGTTCATTCAGAATGACAAGTAAAAGGCTAATACCACCTCCCTCTAAATTTAGAAAAGGCTAATAAACCAAATAACGAGAACATCTTTTCTTTTAATCATTTCCCCTCTAGCACAGACATCGTGTGCTCATGAATAGCAAAGTATGCTTAATCCCAGCTGTACCATTCTAACATCAGATACAGAACTCTAGAACCAAGAAAAGCACTGTTTAAAATCAAGGTCACAGAGATGAACAGTGCTTAAAAAATACCACCTCGTCTTTTCCTCTGTCTTCAATAGTAAGTCATGGTCTATAGCTGAACCAAGTCAGAAATTGGAGAATTTCTCCATTTTAAACAGGTTTCTTAGATAGCAGAGTGGCGCAGCAGAAGTGTGCTGGGCCCATAAACAGCTTTCTTTTTGTCTTGTCTTTTTTATTTTTTTTCATTTTATATATGTTAAATGAGCTGGGTGCAGTGGCTTATACCTGTAATCCTAGCACTCTGGGAGGCCAAGGCAGGAGGATGCCTTGAGCTCAGGAGTTGGAGACCAGCCTTAGCAAAAGTGAGATCCCGTCTCTACTAAAAATAGAAAAAATTAGCCAGACGTGGTGGCGCATGCCTGTAGTCCCAGCTACTTGGGAGGCTTAGGCAGGAGGATCGCTTGAGCCCAGGAGTTTCAGGTTGCAGTGAGCTATGATGACGCCACTGCACTCTAGCCCAGGCTACAGAGTAAGACTGTCTCATAAATAAATAAAAGTGACCCACTTCAGCTGCTTCACTTGACTAGGAAAAAAAAAAAAAGACAGTTACTTCATGGAGCTCTCTTACCAAATTTGATTTGGCAATCTTTTGGTATGATTAGCATGATTTCAGTAGGAGCTTTGTTTAAGGAGCAAACATAGTGAAAAATCAAAAAGGTGCCATGCAGAAGGTCAGAAAGTTTTTCCGGAGACCCTCTGCCCACCGTTATTTCTGAAGCCTTTCTTGTCTGTAGGCCAAGCCTTAAGATAGCTTCTTAGTTCCATTTCTAACCACTAAATGGCACCAGAACTACAAATTAGTTGAGAAATAGAAAATAATCTGCTTAACTAGTCTGTTTGTTTGTTTGTTTGTTTTAGAGATAGGGTCTCACTCTTGCTCAGGCTGGTCTCAAACTCCTGAGCTCAAGCAATCCTCCTGCCTCTGCCTCCCAGAGTGCTAGGATTACAGGCGTGAGCTACTGTGCTTGGCCTGCTTAACCAGTCTTTAAGTGATTTGCAGTGAACCTTTAATTAATACGTCCTAAAATTAATTCATTTATTTTTATCAGTGATCTAGGATATGATGGCTTTTTGCCATTTATTATTTCTTATGGGGAAAAGCAGGTTAAAAAACATATGCAAATCGTTCCTTAGCCTCTTGCCCATTACTGTGGTCCCTTAGTTGGCTGTAGCTTTAGCAGCATTTCTTTGTGCCACAGCAGCCTCCAGCAACATCAGGGGCACATCTGGACTTCATATTGTCAGAATCTTCTGCAAGCTTAAATGGATCTGTGATTATATCCTGTCAAAAGGCAAACCAAAATGAAAGGACAAGTTAAAGGTGTTTTGAGGTACCCAAACACTAATATTTCTGTTTGATTTAGGTTGATTTACATAGAAGGGAGATAAAATTTTACAATTCCGTGGGGTCCTGGTCATTCTGTTATAAAGGCACTGTCTTCCTGAAGCTTCTAATCAAATTATTACTACTTTCGAGGTAAACTTCATTTAAAGTGTCTCAAAGATTGGTCACTATTAGACCAGGAGAGTTGATTTTGCTAAACTGGTTTTGTTGTGCTAAACTGGTTTTGTTCCCATTTGTACATACCTTTTACCCCTTTGGAACTGAGATACTGAAATGCTGAAACTTCTTCCCTTCCCTTACTCTAATGCCCAGAAACATGCATACGAGACAAGAAAGTAAGTCCCAGATACAGGGCCATCATTAGCAATTGCTGGTGTTCCAATGAAATTGCCAAGATTAAGTGGAGTTTTCAAAAGGCACAACTACAGTCTTTATTTTCACCTCCAAATGAGATACCTCTAACAGTAGCACCGGTGGAGCCAGAGAAAAAACAGGCACAAAGATAGGAAATCACAAGAATGAACACACCATCTTAAATAATAAATTCCTTAAACATAAATTCACAGGTGGCTCACGCCTGTAATTCTAGCACTCTGGGAGTCTGAGGCGGGAGGATCACTTGAGCTCAGGAGTTCGAGACCAGCCTGAGCAGGAGTGAAACCCTGTCTCTACTAAAAATAGAAAAATTAGCTGGGCATTGTGGCTCGAGCCTGTAGTCCCAGCTACTCAGGAGGCTGAGGCAGGAGGATTGTTTGAGCCCAGGAGTTTGAGGTTGCTGTGAGCTAGGCTGATGCCACGGCACTCTAGCCCGGGCAACAGAGTGAGACTCTGTCTCAAAAAAAAAATTTACAGTCTTCCTACTTATTGCTGGTCACTGCAGAGAAGGGTATACAAAACAGGCACAGACTCTACATTCATGAAACGGACACTCTTGTGGACTCTTCCGTTTACTGAAGTGACTGACTTGCTGGTGGCCTTGGCCTCTCTGGCCCTCAGTTTGCACCTTTCTAAAATGAAGAGGTGCCCTGGATCCGGGCAGACTAGCATCTGTTACAGCAAGGGGTCCCCAGGCCTGGAGGAGGCCAACCATGCTGGGTGCTGCTGCTGGGCCTTCACATCCACTGTATTTCTGCCTCTCAGTATATTGGAACTCCTGGTTGGAAGAGTGAGCCTCTCCTATTTTCCACCCAGAAAAATGATTTTCCATGCCCTTCCTCCCATTCAATGTTCTATAGCGGTATCAATATCACTTCCAAACACATTCTCCTAATCCTAAAAGAACTCAAGACTTGAAGGAAATAAGAGGTGAGGTGCCTGGATAAGCAGTGCTTTCCCGCACCAACATCCTATGACTCTGAAAAGTATAAATACAGAGAGGCAGTACGACATACTGGCTTAGAGTGTCAGCTCCAGAATCAGACGTGGCTTCAGATTCACCACTTTCTAGCTGTGTGACTTTGCATTAGTAAATTGATCATTCTTTCTTTTTATTTTTTTTTTTTTTTGAGA